TAAAATTTAATATTCATTCTTTCACATATTTTAACTATCAATCATTTATACTCATTGTTTTATAATTTTTCTATCACATCAAATTTACATTTTTTGTCATATTCATTCACCATCTCAAAATTATTTCATTCTTCCATCAAAATAATATTTTTCACTTTTGTCTCACTTTCCCCATTTAATCAACAAATAGTTTCTTTAAAATAATCTACATACAATTCCCGGGTAGTGTCGGTCGAAGTGGCAGTAGACCTATAAATATTAGTACATCTAAGTTAGAGCATCCACAATGCTTTGGAATCAATCCCAAAAAATTACATGCCACATAAAAAATAGACTCAATCTAAAAAAATATATTCTCCAATACAAATAAAAGTAGACTGGGTCCTGCTGATGTGGCTGTCAGAAAAAGAGACCCAGTCTCCCCTTAAGTCTATTTTAGACCCAAGTAGAGACCTAGTCTCTTTGTATTGGAGTGGATTTTGTTAATTCCACATAGTTTTATCCATGTCATCTAAGACTTGGGTTTATTTACTTGCCACATAGGCTAGACTGGACTCAATGCATTGTAGATGCTCTTATGTGGTTATGAGTATTTAATCCTTTTCAAATGCACGGTTTAAAATAAAATATCATTAGNATTCTCATATGATCCTATGAGAATGGTAGATAGTGAAAGAAATAAAAATAAATCTAGATCATTAGATACATCATATCAGTGGTTAGGATTAAGTCAAAATGGTCAATCATTACATATTTGCCCACTTAGTAAGGGTAAAACGGACAATACACATAATATTACAACTCATCCACTTAGTGGGCCCCACCACCTCCACCATAATTAACCCTCATTTAATTCTTTCTCTCCCGCAAGCACATTCTCGAAACTCTGCTGGAATTGTACCCGTCGTTTGGGTTCCCCCATCGGAAAATGAAACTCGCCACCATCTGCTACCACCCGCCGCCGACAGTTGCCGCCCGCCGCCGCCCGACGCAGACAACTACCACCAGCCGCATCTCTCTCGCACAAAACTCTCCGTTTTCTCGGCCGAGTGCCGAGCATCACTGCCACAAACTCCGGCGTCATCTCTACCTTCTCTCCCGGCATCGGTCGCGTCCTCCACACGCCGGCGAGCTTCGATGATTTCACCACCAACGACTACCGTGTCGATATAGACCTGGCCGACAATCGCCGCGCCAACCTAGATCCCACTGTACTCAGCTCGACCGACCCTTCGTCCGTCTTCTCCGCCGCATCCGACCTTATCTGCTCGATCTGAGTCTGGCGAGGAAAAAAATAGAGTGATGGTGATGGAGCTGGGGGATAGTGATCGTGAAGAGATGACGGTGGCTGCAGTGGCGGCGCCGGGCACACGCGATGGTGGCTGCAGTTGGGGGTTCTATTTTCAGGGATGAGGAGATGTAATTGGAATTGGGTGTTTTATTTGGAAATTCAACATTTATTAGGGCTCCATTATTGAGGATTTGATAACTCTTAGGGTCTATATTGTAATTTTATAAATGTTAAAATATCTACAATTGAGTTCATTTATTTAATTTGTGACTAATCAAAACATAATTAAAAATTTAATATTTATATTTTATTGGCTGAGAATAAATAATATTTTTACATAAAAATAACTGACACCGAACTGAAATAATCGAGTTTTTAAAGGTAATAAAATAAACAATAAAAATAATAATAATTGAACCGAAATATAAAAATTCAAACCAAAAAATTTAGTTTGGTTGATTTCTTTTGATAATGTGCAGACATATAGTCATTATATTGCAATATGTATAACCATAATGTGCACTCATGATACATAAAAGTATATAGATAATAATAACAATAATTTTCAATAACTACGTTTTTTAAAGTAGAAAAAAATACTGAAAATAATAATTGAATCGAAATATAAAATTTCGAACTAAACATTTTAGTTTGGTTGATTTCTTGATATTGTGCAATCATATATTCATTAATGTGCAATTTATATTATTATAATGTGCACTTGCAATACATAAAAATATATAAATCATAATAATAATATTTTTCATATATCTCGGCTATTTGAATTTCGATTGAAATAACCGAAATATATAAATTTTAATATTATCGAAATAACTTTATTTCAGTTGAAATTATCGAAGTCAAAATAACTTAATTTTTAAAAATAACCTATAAATTTGGACGGAAAAATTATAGTTATTTAAATTTTGATCACTAATGTGCGGTCTGTAACACATTAATGTGCAATATGTCTAACACCAATGTGCAGTATTTCAGTCACTATTGTGCGTCTCTTCTGACTGAACTTTTGCCCAACTAAATTAAAACCGAACTAAAATACATGATTTATTCGGCCAGTTAACCAATTTGTCGTAGTTATTATAAATAACTTTTTTATGTTATAAAAAAATTATTTTTGATATTTGAATAATTTACTCAATATTCTTACATCAATTTTTATTGTAAATACATAATATATGAAATATTAAAACTAATGGTGTTTTCCAAATACAATAATGTGCATTTAATATGGTATTATCGTCCAATCGATTGAGCTGGTACTTTTTATGTGCATTTCAATTTTAGAATATTTTAATAATTTTTATTTTAAATTATTATTATCGTGCATTTATCAATTTATTTATATACTAAAACTATATTTAGTTTTATATTTTTATTAATATTTTATATTATTGTTTGTTGAAATAAACGATATATATGAAATAAAAAATATATTTTTGTATATATTTCGGCCAAATATGCTATTTGTTTTTTTTTAAATTAAAGACGAATTTGGACAGAAGAAACTAAAAATTCAATTTATGTGAAAAATGCACACAGTTGTCATAATGTGCATTATCGGATGCATTAATGTGCATTTGATCTAACACTGTTGTGCATTCAGACCATTACTAAAGTGCGGTAAAATTCTTTTTTATGTACCTAAGTTATGAAACATTACTATTATTTATTTTATAAAAATATATTTAGTATTTCAGACGACGGCGGAGCCTGGAAGGTGAGGACGACCGGATTTCAGACGACGGCGGGAGACTGGAGGTTGAGGACGACCGGATTTCAGACGACGACGGAGACTGAAATTGCAATAGGAGAGAGTTTCGAATTTTCCGGTGACGAGACTTCCGAGTCTGTTTTAGAGAACGCCGTCGACCGGAAATAGCGGGCGGAGTGCGGCGTTAATTGTAGAGTCGGCCGGGGTTTGTGTTGCGATGTGGTGGCGGCGGTGGGCGGCGATGTGCGGCGGAGTCCGAGGTGTTTGTGTGGTGTGTGTTCGTCTTCGTCGTGGTGGAGAAGGTGCTGCAGGAGGTGGCGACTCCGTCGAGATCGGCGGTGATTGGTGGTGCGGATGCCTACGAACAAGGGTCCTCGGAGGTGGCGGCTCGCCGGCGGCTGATGTTCTCCGGCCACTGAGATAATATGTAGGGGCTGAGATCGATAGACTGCAGAGATGTGTTTTGTTAATTAGGATGTGGGACCCACTGCTATAATTTGGATGGGTCGGTGTGGGTTATGATGTGGGGCCCACTGATATAATAGCTTTGGTGAATGTGGATGTGTAAAATATCCTTATTACCCTTAATGAGTATGAACATGTGAATTTTTTTCTAGTCGTTGGATAATGCGATTAAATGGTCACGATGTATTCTTATTTCTTTCACTAAGTACCATTCTCATTTGAACCCAACCCTATATATATATATATATAAGATTTCATGCTTGTGAGTAAACGAGTTGGGTAATTGGGTTGGGTAACGGATTTTTCTATCATACCCGAACACGATCCGACCCGGGGTTCGGGTAGCATAATTCTACCCGAAACCCGATCATCCCGGGTTCACCCGACCCAAAAATGCGGGTAACCCGCGGGTAACCCGACACTGCTGGTTTTATTGACATGCCTATTTTTGGTAGGAAATATGTTGGTATTAATAAAAATCCAATTTTATGGTATAAATAATTTATTTGCATATGAAATGTCAGAATTTAAATGGTATGAATTTTATTTTGTATGGATAGAAGTGTATTTAGAAAATTTGAAAACAAAATAAGTGGTATGAATTTTATTTGGTATGTGTATGAACGTCGAATTTTATGTTGATTTGTTATTAAATCAAGGTGATAGGATTCTCAAATTTTACCATATTCTCATAATAACTTGCCATAAGATATTGCTGATAATTCAGGAAATTGGTATGTTTTCCTCTTAAAAATCAAAAAGATCTTTGAACAAATATTGATTAGTAAAATTTAAAAGTTTTAATTTAATTATAGAGAATTTGTTGATAAATTTGAACGATAAGGTAAGCTAAAACAAATTTAAAAATTTACGAGATAATATATATATATATATATATATATATATGTGTGTGTGTGTGTGTGTGTGTGTGAAATATATAAAGGAATTTATTGTGTAGTCCACATTTAAAAGTCAAATAAGTAATTATTCATAACTTATGAGTCAATTTTAACTTGGGCGTAAATGAAATAGTCTGTTATTTATATTTTAATCAATTACTCAATTGCTTAAAACTTTTGGATAAGGATAGTTTATACAAAAAATAATTTTAATTTAATTAATGAAAAAATATAAGATTTATAATTATACTTAGTTTTCTCATATATTTTTAAATATTTGATAAAATTTTGCCAAACTGTTTATTTTATGGAACCACATTGTAGTCAAAACGAATTTTTAAGTAAAAGTTTTAGAATGACACTTATTTGAAGTGAGTGTAATTTAATTTTAAATAGACATGTTTTATGTAATTTTGCTCAATTTAAATTTCATATAATATTTTCAATAAATTAATATAGGTAAATTTTATTACATATTAATTCTATATTTTTAATTTATAAATATTATTTAAAGAGAATTTTTTATTTATAAATATTAATGAATATCTCTTACCTGTACATCGCACGAGATTTGTACTAATTTTTTTATATAGGGAAAGATCTAATTTTAATTCTAAANTAATTGGAGAAAGTTTGCTTTTATTCTGAATTTTATTGGTGTTTATTATTACATTGTCTGAAAGTACATGTATCATTGTAAGTGACCTCCAAAGCACACACCCACCCACGCAATTAACTGGCTAATGACTTCGATGGGCGTCGACGGTAATCTTCATGCCACTTGAACAATCACTTTTATAGCCGCTTATAAAGTAATACTTCCGTACTTCCGAAAGCTTTATTTGACCGTTGATTTGATTACCATTTTGAGTTACGCAGTTCTCGTAATCATGACCCGCGCTCACCATGTATACACCATCCGATTTCGGGTCCTTGAAAACTGCGTTTACACGTATACAATATGCAAGATTAATTTGCATAAGTAATTTTACTTATTTAAACAATATGCAAGATTAAATTGAATGCTATTGCCCTGTAACATTTTAACAAATAATCAACCAAGAACAATAGGAGATCTATGTATCTCTCTTTGTAATATGCCTAGTATTTTGTGATATAAGCTAATAATGTAAAATAAGTATTTAAAATTAAAAAAAAAATATATATATGATGAAATAGCTGTTGTGAAAATTACAATCATATGAATATAACCAAATTCGGTTGATTGTGTTCATATGAATATACTAAACTAGAGAAAACCACTATACCGATCAACAACCTTCCAAACCAGTCAAAAACGAAATTTTCATTCAACAAATTATTTTGTTAAAATAATTGGAACCGTGATATATGTGCCACTTCACTTAATATACATAAATTAAACTTCAAAATTACTAATTTCATGCACTTAAATCAGATAATGTGTATGAAACATTATATATATATATATATATGGTGCAAATTCCAGCATACACTGTATGTATATATGAAGCGAACTTGAGTAATTAGTTGGTTAGAGAAGGAAAAAACATGGCCGATTGAAAAATAGAACACATATTTAAATTAAATATTTATTTGTCATCTTACCAAGGGTGTCACCAACATAAAATTTCTTGCCATCGGTCCAGCTTTTTACAGCATCAGCACTTGACCAATCCACAGTATAAGTAGTCCCAGTAGGAACCCAGATGCCGTGACCCAACTGAAACTGAAAAATCATCATCAACAGGAGAGTGTGCGTGGCACCACTACTCATCCTCTTCCCGCTCATCTTCTTCACAACAAAAGGATTCAAAATAATGTGGAGTTGCAATTTATTGTGTTTTTCTGAGAATGTTTATGGTTATATGCAGCTGAAGATGGACTACTAGTATTTATAGGCAGGCCCCCCGCTACCCAAACTACCGTTTTTCATTTTCCTCTTTTACTTTTTTGTTTAGTTGTTTGTTTTGATCCAAATTCAAAGTATCCGGTGCCGACAAACTTAGGGTGATTGTTTATAAATTTAACTAAAAAATCAATCAAAATTCAAATTTAACTCAATTTTATTTTTTTGGTACAAAAATTTAACTCAACTTTAACCCAACTTCATTATCTTCAATATTATCAATATAATTAAATAATACTATCTCTTTTTTTTTTAAATGTCATTTTAGCTTTATCAATCATTAACCAAATAAATGACATTTTGAATCTTTTGTACATATTTTTCCATTATTACCCTCATTTAGCTAATAATTACACTACGTCTTTTCATATTCACTCTTTATATTTTCTCAAAACATCCATTTCGATCTTTATTAATGAGGGTTATTATTGACAAAAACAATATTTTTAATTATTGTGCAATTTCTCAAAACGACACTTATTAAAAATAGGAGGGAGTATTAACCAATCATTCTTATACATCAGATCAACTTTAATTCACTATTCATCCACTCACATAATTTTACATAACCATCACTCCAACCATTTTCTTCTATTTTACATTAACTTAATTTAATTATTTTATTTAAATATTATTTTAATATATCCACAAATAACTAATCATACCATATTTTTTTTAAAATTAATTATAATTAAAAAAAACAAACCAAATAAAAACTAGTTGAATTCATAAACAATCACCCCTTTCATTATTTCAACACTCAATTATTTTACTTTTTCTTTAAATTTATTATCAATTTTTAAAGGTGACATTTTTTATTGACTGTAAAATATTTTTTTTTATCAATTTTTATAGGCAGGCTACCGAAACTACCGTATTTCATTTTTCTCTTTTACTTTTTGGTTTAGTTGAGAGATTTGTTTTGATCCAAAGTATCATGTACCGACATACTTAATCATTACAACACTCGAGTACCTTACTTTTTTCTTTATACTTTTTTTTTTTTTANTTATTGACTGTAAAATATTTTTTTTCATTTTTTAAAGGTGACATTTTTTTATTGACAGTAAAAAAAATATAAAGTCGTCCTGAAAAGAGCAATAAAAAATGCCTAGGACAAATAACCATATATGTTAGTCACTGGCTCACCGGGCCAAATGTATCAAGTATTGCCCTTGATCATGGTTATCATTTTATAACCAAAATTCAGATTCCTAAGACAAATAATCAAGTTGTTATATGCTGTTTAAAAAAATAAAAATTTTCAATTTTTTTTTTCAAACGATAGATTCTATATATAGAAACACACAAATACAAACTAGAAAACAACAAATTCGCTGAGAAACCAGTCAACCAGTTGAATCTAGGTGGAAGAGCTACATAAAGTATAGTCTAAATCCTACCTATCAACAACAAACAAACCACAACACAGTAAAATAACCTACAAACTCCCAATAGAGGAGAAAGAAAAATTTCCACAAGGAAAGAAACTCCCAAGCGAGAGAACCAAAAAGAAAGAAACAGAAAAACTCCCACAAGGAGAGAAGCTCCCAACCGGAAGAACCAAGGAGAGAAACTCTCAATATAATTCAAGCAGTAAGGTAACACCCACAAATAAAAAAAGGGGGAAAGAAACATTAAAAATTATCAATCACAGATTAATACGTTCTTTCACACAAACAATTTTAACTTGAATTAATTTGAATAAATATTACTGTACTCCAACAAAAGGATTCTTATTGAAAAATTAACTTGAATTAATTCTGAAATTATATCTATTTTTTTTTATCAAAAAATTAATTCATTATCATCTCTTATTGAAATGATTAACATGAAAATATAAAGCGGAGATTCCCTATCTGTAAAAATCGGTTTTGAGTTTGACAGACTGAATAATTTTTTTTTTAGTACTTAGCTGAAAAATTCAACTCAAATTTAATCCAATTAAACTCTTTTTGTTGGGGTAGAACACCAAAACGCAGCGGACAAAATTACCCCTCCAACAAATATGGCATTCACTACTCCAAACAAAAAATAAGCCAACACAAATAAATAAAAGACGAGAAATAAAAAGGACACAAAAATTGATAACGGAGTTCGGCGAAAATAGCCTACGTCTCCGGGCACCACCAACAGAACGCCAAATTTACTAAATTCACCAACAAAATACAACTAGGGTTAAATAACCCACAAATTAAGATTTCTTTAAATAAGGATTTCCTACCAAGAGAGGAGAGAATAGAATAAGGTGCAATTGTTACCCAAAGGCAAGGGACCTATTTATACTAATAAGATCCTACACATCTTTGGTATACATCTAATGTGGGACAACAATTAATCAAAATCTAACAATTCTCCACCTTGACTAATTTTGCTCCCACTTCGACTCTTCAATCCAAATCAACTGCTGGCGGTGCCTCCAAATGCGCCTCACGGCGCCAACTTAAATATGCAGAATGTTAGTCAAGTCCAAACAATGTTCAAACTTGACTGCTGTCACTACCTTGGTCATCATATCTGCAGGATTCTACGTCGTCTTGATATTCTTCAACACAACGGTTCCATCTTCTAGAATCTCCCGCACAAAGTGATAGCGAACATCAATATGCTTCGTTCTTGCATGAAATACTTGATTTTTCGCTAAGTGAATAGCGCTCTGACTGTCACAATGCACTAAGACGTGCTTTTGACCAACTCCCAAGTCTTCAAGCAAACTTTGAAGCCAAATAGCCTCCTTCACAGCTTCAGTAACCGCCATGTACTCTGCCTCTGTTGTAGACAAAGCAACTGTTGACTGTAAGGTAGACTTCCAACTGACTGGAGCTTTTGCAAAAGTAAACAAATATCCATTCGTTGATCTTCGCTTATCCAAATCACCCGCATAGTCAGAATCACAATATCCAACTACACATTGACCAACTTCATTCTGCTCATAAACTAATCCAACGTCTACAGTAGTATGAATGTACCGTAGAATCCATTTCACAGCTTGCCAATGACCTTTACCAGGGTCATGCATATACCTACTAACAACACCAACTGCTTGTGAAATGTCGGGCCTTGTACACACCATCGCATACATCAAACTGCCAACTGCATTTGTATATGAGACTCTATCCATGTATTCTCGTTCTTCATCACAATTTGGCGATAATTGGGCACTTAACTTAATATGAGGGGCAAGTGGTGTACTTACAGGCTTCGTCTCATCTTTTATGCCGAAACGCTGTAGTACCTTATTCAAATATTGCTTCTGAGTCAAACAAAGCTTGTCTCTCCTTCTGTCCCCACTTATCTCCATCCCAATAATTTTCTTAGCTTCCCACAAGTTTTTCATCTCAAACTCTTGGTTCAACTGAGCCTTCAACTGATCAATCTCCATTTGGCTCTTTGATGCAACCAATATGTCATCCACATACAAGAGTAAGTAAATGAAAGATCCATCTTGCAACTTGCGTAGATACACACAATGATCATGTTTGCTTCGTGTGTACTTCTGCCCAATCATAAACTTATCAAACCGTTTCTACCACTGTCTCGGAGATTGCTTCAGTCCGTACAACAATTTATTCAACTTACAGACCCAATTATCTTTTCCAGAAATTTTGAATCCTTCTGGCTGAGTCATGTAGATTTCCTCATCTAAATCTCCGTGTAAGAACGCCGTCTTCACGTCAAGTTGAGCTAGCTCCAAATTCAACTGTGCTACTAAGGCCAACAAAATTCTAATGGAAGAGTGCTTAACAACTGGAGAAAACACTTCATTATAATCAACTCCTTCCTTCTCCGTAGCCATTAGCCACCAATCTTGCCTTGTAGCGCCACATCATTCTTCAGAGGAAATCCATCTTTCTTTACAAATACCCACTTGCATCCTATCGCCCTTTTGGTAGTTGCGTCACCTTCCAAGTTTGATTCTTCTGAAGAGACAACATTTCTTCCTCCATAGCCCTTTTCCACTTCTCATTTTCTAAACTCCGAATTGCATCTTGAAAAGTAAAAGATATGTCATCATCAACAATTGGAAGTGCATAAGCCACCATATCCGCCAATCGAGCTGGTTGTTGAATCTCTCATCTGGGCTTTCACAATGCAATGGGTAACTCTAATGATTCTTGAATCTGTACTTCATCATCCGACGAATCCTTTGATATTGGTTCGTCGATCATAGCTGGTTGTCTCGTCATCGCATATATCTCCACCTGCTTCGGTGTCAACTCTACCTGTTGGGTTTGCGTTGTCTTTATCATACCTTGTTCATCAAATGTAACATCCCTGCTGAACACAGTTTTGTTCGTCTCAAGACACAAAAGACGATATCCCTTCACGCTAATTGTGATTCCCATGAACAAAGCCTTTTTCGCTCTTGGATCTAACTTTGAATCCTTCACATGATAGAACTTAGGACACCCAAAGACATGTAAAGATCCACAGTCAGCAACAGGTTTCCCCGACCATACCTCCAACGGTGTTTTACCATCTTTTGCAGATGACGGCAATCGATTTATGAGGTGTTGCGCGTATGTTACAGCCTCAGCCCAGTACTCCTTGCCTAAACCAGCATTGGACAACATACATCGAACTTTCTCCACCAATGTTCGATTCATGCGCTCTGCCACCCCATTTTGTTGTGGTGTCCGTCTGACGGTGAAGTGCCTAACAATGCCATTTTTTCGGCAAATTTCTTGAAAGGGATCACTTGTATATTCTCCACCATTGTCCGTTCGTAGGACCTTGATCTTCCTTCCAGTCTGATTCTCAATTTGTGTCTTCCATGTAATGAAGACACCAAGCACTTCATCCTTCGTCTTCATAGTGTACACCCAAACGCGTCTGGAAAAGTCATCGATGAAAGTGTCAAAATAGCGTCTTCCGCCTAATGATGGGGTCTTAGAAGGTCCCCAAACATCCGAATGAACATAATCCAAGACATGGATAGCCGTTCCAAACTTCACTCTCTTCTGCTTTCCCAGAACACAATGCTCACAAAAGTGTAATTTGCACACTTGACATCTTTCAACAATCCTTGTTTTGCCAATGTCTGCAAGGATTTTTCACCAGCATGTCCCAA